CAAATAAATTTTTTTAAAAAAGAAAAAGTTATTAAAAATAAATTTAAATTGTGTATTCCCCTTTTAATTTTGGGTTTAGTAACAAAATATCATTAAGAATTGAAATTGAAGATATTTATTCCTTAGTAATTATATAATGACATTGAGAAACCACGTTCTTAATCTTATTGATGCATTAAGATACACAAGAAATCAGACGTGTAGAAGAAAATTTCATTGTGGATCAATATGTACAGGTACACGTTTGAGCCATGGCAATCATACACATTATTTTCATGTGAAATTGTTGCACTTTATAAAACCATATTAAAATGTCAAGTTGGAGCAGTAGCTTATTTCAGACAGGTGGTTGTAGTGTTATCCTCGGTTTATAGATACATTGAATATGCAGTGGGATGGCCATGCCAGTGGAGAGATTAGGGAACGAGATATAGATTTGAAAGACATTAGCAGTGGTAGTTCAAGCTGTCAGTAACCAGACAAAGAGCTGAGTCAAGACAGTGATAGCTGGGGGACAATCACTAATGGCTAGGAAGGTTTTAACTTTGTCTGTGGTTGAGGAATAGCAATTGGAAGAGAAACCATCACCGACCAAGAAGAATGAGTGAAAACAAAGTGAAGAGACTAGCATTTTTCCCTTGAAAGAAAAGAAAAATTAGATATTAAATTTGGACTCACTTTTTCACATAGTGGTATGAGTTCATCCTCAAAAAGGTCTCGGGGAAGTTTTCCAATAAAAATTTCACAGCCCCTTTCTGGGGGTGCAGCCTCCCAACCAGGAGGAGGGCCGCCATATTTTCTCTGTCCATTTTCCTGCAGATCCGGGGCACAATGCACAAGGGAGAGAAGAAAACAATAGAAACTTTAGTTCTATTTCTTTGATTATTTTTCAAAATCATTTCACAATAAGAAGCATATTGATCATTGATAAGTAATCATAGTTGACTAGAGGACAAAAGCAAAGTTCTTTTATGTGGATTATAATACCATGGTCTGTGCTTCAGCAACTTGCTCGAGATAAGCATTGTTAAAACTTGTAAAGTGCTGGACAAATATAAGGGGTTATTATTTTTAAAAATTTTATTTTATTGCAGTAAAAGTACTTGACATGAGAGCTACTTTATTAACAAATTGAGGTGTTTTTCTTTTGTCATGTAAATTCCCCAAAGCCTGATCATCAAAGATCTGCATATAATTTAAATCTGGGACTCTGATTTGATGTTGAGGGTGTGTGGTGTGGTCATAAGGGCCCCAGAGCCAGACTGTTTGACTCCATCAGTAGCTGCTCTGTGGGACCTCAGGCAAATGACTTAACTTCTTGGAAATATTCCCCTTTGCAAAGTAGGGATAATATCGGCTTTTGATTGGAGAAGATATTGCATCAAATATGTGTGGCCTGTGATTTATCTCCAATAGTTATCTC